CTCTGGCATTGTCACGTCCAATGTTTTTCTTTTCACACACAAAAGAGAATCTTGGCAGTGTTTGTGTCAGCCTCTAAAGAAATGGAGGCTTTGAAACAACTTTAACTGAAAGTCTCATTAGACTTCATCTGTCAGAGCATCTTCCATTGAATCTGCTGTGTTCGTTATGAAGTGTGCATCAACTCTGGATCTAGTGAGAACATGAGAATTTGGGAAAAAGTAGCCTATTCCAAAAGAGTTTATCCATGTAATAAACCATGGGCGTTGAGTCAATATTTGTTCAAACAGTTCCCTCCCAAGCTGATCAATGTCAAAACAAAAACTCACGCTTTTTTTTCTTTATCATTGAAGCTATTCCATCCGCTCTCTTGATAATATCAAGGTCTTGTATTCTGTTTTGTAGCTTTGGGAAAGATTTTTTATTTCAGTGGATTAGCTGAAATAAAGGTCATCAGTGTGTTTCATCAAACTGCAATAAACAGTGTTTCATGCTGATTTAAAGGAATTAATTAGATAAGCTCGGGTTTCAAACAACCAAGTCTCAAGCTGCCGAAACAACTGCTCATGTTATTCTCTGAGAACATATCTCTGTGCCCACTGCCCATGTGGTATTAAGATTCATAGCTGCTAACATTTTCTTGAATGCGTCCAACTGCAAAAGACGAGTCCAACAAATGGACTTGCAGTAGAAGAGAGGCTTGCACTCCAAATGTCAAGTCTGCGTGCTGTTCCATTTGTTTTGAATGCACTCCAAATGAAAAGCAATTTAAGAGCTCCAGCCATTAGAAAGAGCCCTCACCACTGAAGTGCAAAACCAAACCTTAATTAGGAAAATTATGATTGTTTGGTGCACGTTTCCAAATTGCTTCACAATTGGCTTTTATTTCTCATGCCACCATCTGACGATTTATATACTTCAGCCTGTCTACATTTAGAAAATGTCAACAAGCCATGGAGTAATTTAAAGCAGGCCTCTGTAAAAGAAGACACATCTATCACATTGTTACTGGCAGAAGATTAACTGGTTGACATTTCTCTCCACTAAACCAGCACAATAGGACTTGATTCAGACGATTGTCCTGTCAAACACACAGTGCATGATGGAGAATATAATTAAGTCAAATATCTGTCACGCATCTGATTTTGTTCCCCAAAGGACTCTAAAGGATTGTGAGTTGACTTTGTTGGACTTTTGTGTGTTATTAAATGTCAAGGACGCTGTGCAATTATGTTGCTGAAAATGTCCTTTCAGTCAATTTGTCTATAAATCATAAAGTAAGAGCTGTATGACACACACACTTCTCCATGTAGTGAGGCATGTTAGATGACACATGCCCACACAGCCCCATGTTTCACCTGTTATAATACCATGCAAATACAGGCAGAATAATTAGCAGTCTAATAAGGAAAGCTAATATTTGTTCAACCCAAATTGCCCGTTGTGTGAGTCCAGTCAACAGCGCTGGAACAAACAAGAGCAAACCTCAACACGGGGAAAGGTCATGGGATCAATAATTCATTTAAGATGCTCCCTGGGATTGACTCTGCAGTCGCCTTGTAATCAGGGGAGAGATTTATTTATCTTAACCAACTTTAAATCCACATTCCTACGCTAGAGAAAACATTGCCACCTCGGTCGATTTTCAGTGCCCTCACAAGGCCACGAGCTTTTCTGTTTTATTTACCCCCCAGGAGCTTACAAAGGAGCGGCTCTTTAATAATACTGCAACGGTGCACTAAGCATCTATTAAGGGAACTTTGTGGAAGGAAAGAAAAGAAAGAAAGGACACATTCAAGGGCAGAAGTGTATTTACAGTGTAAACAAATGCAAACATAAACTGCAAGGTATATATGGTACTTTATGCTCGCAGTGAACACCTGCAAGTGAAAACATTAAAATGCCTGGTACAATTTTTGAATATCTCCAAATGATAAGGAGCTATTTTATTAAAAAAAAGCCCTTGTCCTTCTTGATTTAATTAGAATTATTATGACATATCTCTGGAAAAGAACATGGTTTGCAATGTTTTCAAATATCTATCATTTACTTAGCAGGGCATCTCATATGTGCCACACTGACTGGATATCTGACTCCTCGGATTTAAATAATGCAGCCCTGCTGAGTGCAGGCATCCGGAGGCTATGTTGGCTCAAACGCTACAAACCTGCCCAGTCTGAAAGATTTACCAAGACGCTAATCAAAGAAATGTCCAGGTGTGAAAAGCCCAAAATGCAATCCCTTGAAGAAACGATTCCTACGACTAATTTTCACTGTTTTCTTTACACATTCTTATCCTCCAGCTGATGTGCGTTTATGTATGAACTGTTAAATTCCTACTGTCGGGATCCTCTGAATATTGCACATTTTTCGAAAGGACAGATGTTGGTTGAGTGAGTGCTCGGCTGAAACAGCTGTCCGTAATAAACAAATGACTGTAAAAGAGGCATTTCATAGGCAATTGCATCAAGGACGCAGCAGTGTGGAGTTTTATTTCAAAACATGTCACTCACTTTACTTTCAGCCGGCTATTAGCCATATGGTTTACAGTTTGGGGAACATAAACAAGTTTGACTGACAATCCAATCAGACTGTCAACGCCGTGTCAGTTGTGATGTTAATGTCACCCTCAGACAAAACATATCATGGTTTTGTTTGAGGGATTTTAAGGATCTCACATGTTGTTCACCCTGCTTCCTCTGTTCCTGTTACCACGTTTTGTCTCTCACCATGTAAATACCTGCCTGTAGATCATTATGTAATACAGTGCGTCGGCGCGCAGAACGCTTAGTCTGCCATTCTCTCTAAATTGTTAAATTGGATTCCAAATGCAATTATCTGCCAGGGTAATTCATGACAGAGTAGCTTGCCGTAACTACTCATTTGAAAGGATGCAGAGTCATTTATATGTCATTTTGGAACAATACTGTATCTCTTGGAAGCTCTAAGCTTTGTCGGGAGAGGCAGAAATGAATGATTAGTGCCTTCCAATAACTAGTTCCAAGGAGAGTGTTTAAAGCAGTACTGTAAGCAAATGTCTGGCCTAGATCTGTTTAGTAATGAGCTGGAACTCCATGATTAGACAAATCCATCACAAATGCTGCTATTTGTATAATGTTTGCACAACATGGGCATTTTCATTCAGCATGGGAAGCTTTTCCTGGGAACTCATGTAGGTGGCAGATGGAGTCTCAATATCAAGACCAGTGTGGTTATTGCACTTGCTTTGAAGTAACCTAAAGTAGGCACAGAGAGTTCTTTATCTGTCTCAGTTTGATGTGTAGCAGGGAAACGCTTACTTTTTTTCCTTCTAAGCCACACAGCGCTAACAAGAGAGAATTGTTTCTGATGCGAGACTTCAAGAATGTGACGTTTCCATGCAGGCTGCAAGTGGATTAATCCAACTAAAGAGTAATTGCCGTGGCATTGTATTGACTCTATGCATGAGGGAATTCAAATCACTTCAGTTCTGTAGGATTGGAGCCAGTACTTGAGTCAAGCTAAGGTGTTTATGTGAGTTCATTTAATTTGGAGTAAGACTGCAATGGCCCTATTAATGGATTAAAGGGATGTGTGTAAATGTAATTGTGTGAATCTGCTGACTGCTTATGAAAAGATCCGAGGGGGAAAAGAATAAACGGCCTACTTTCAACAAATTCTGTAAACGTACGCTTGAGCCAGGCACAACATATTCAAAGTAGCTAATCAGCGGCCGACAGGGTGCGTGTGCGTGTGTATGTGTGACTGTTTCTATTATTGCAGCGCTACGCCTCTAGGCTGTCAAATTGTGTTGTTGTTAACGCAACACACCTCTTCTTTTATTTCTAATTTCTTCTATCTAATGTAATTTAATTAGTGGAATTCATAGAAAAGCAAGCTACATTTAGCTCCGTTTGACATGTAGACTACATTGCTACGATGACATGCTATCAAAGCAACTAACACAGAAGTTGGAAAATTGGACACCCAGTAAGTGTTACAGAAAGTCGTTCATTTTAATTAACCAGGCATTGAGGACAAGTCACAACATGAGCGGAAATAAGTTTATTTTTTATAATTCGCGTGTTGAAAAAAAAATGATAGAGACAACAAGTACTGAGTTCAAGCAAACAAACCATAATATGGTCATTATGGTTTTATTTGTAAATCTGGTTCTCGGTTGGTTTGTTTTTGCTTTATTGTAGTTGACTTGTACATAACGCAGCGTTTGAAATCACATATTTTCTCCCCCCTTTAGGTCTCACATTGGTTATTAAAGGTAGGGTAGGTAAGTTTGAGAAACCTCGCTCGAGATCGCTAGAATTTGAAAATACACAACCGGAGAAAATCTGCCACTTCCTTACAGAGCCCCTCCTCCAACACACACGAACGCGCACATGACCAATGAGGGCACGAGATAAGTTTGTGCACAGATGGAAGGCTGACAGGCAGGTAGGCCATCCAGTTATTTTAGCCGGGCCGGCTAAAATGATTGGTCGTACTTTTTACAGTACTACGGCTTCCACAGATGAAATTTTTTTATGGATTTTTTGTCAAAGCACTTAAGATATTCATTGCTATCGGGATGTTAAGAACATTCCATGGAATATAACAAAAAGTGTATCTCGAGCCGGTTTCTCAAACTTACCTACCCCACCTTTAATGATTTATATTTTTCCACTGAATTGTATTTTTGTTAAATATTTATGAGAATTTCATTTTAAGTTTTAATGATTAGTAAGGTTTTCTTTTACCAAATGCTGGTCATTACAAATAATATACAATATACAGTAGTACATCTGAAACACACTATTTCCAATCTAAAAATGTAAATCACTTTCAGTGAGACCTTTGCAAAGTGTTTGAGTTTGTGAATGCAGTCTTATTGTTTAGACAAATATCCTACTAAACTTCTTAACTAATTATATTCATGTAGCAAAAGCATCCAATTTTTATCCCGCTCTCTAATCTGTTCATTCATTCTCAGTTAAAGACAATAGTACAAAATAAACACAATCTCAAACATCATTTTTATTCTCCAAATATACAGAGCAAAAGCATCATAGATTCACAGACCAGTACAGTTATAATACAACCATTTTCTTTTTTTCTTAGATACAGAGGGCCACTGCCTGAAAATAGTGGTTTACCCAGTAGAATGTACACGTTGTCTTTTTTTATTACAATTAAGCTTATGGATCACTATTTATACAAACTCTCAAAATGACCATCTAAATTAAGTACTTTTTCAGACCTGGTTCATGTAGCATTTGCAAAGTAGTTTGCGTTATCTGGTATAAAGAGCAATTCAACCACCAATTCACGCAGATTTTTTTCAGTCTTCTGCGACTTAGCGTAGGACGTCTGCTGCAAACCAAGAAACATTTCTGCTGTGCCCTGCAAACTCGGATCATTATTTGCAAATACTATTTAATCCAGGCCCCTTTTTCCAGTTGTATGGTATTAAAGTACTAACAAGGTATTGATTGGTAGAACCGAAAATAAGTAAAAGAGAGAAACAGAGTGATAGAAAGCATTTACACAGTAAAGAAAGGGTTATCATGATCAATTCAATGTTCAACATGGCATCTTCCCTAATGGGTTCCCTCATGGACAGTGACACTTATCATACAATGAGGGAGACTTCAAATAGCCTCATGTAAACCACCCTTTGCAGGCATAGGCGAGATATTGGCAGTACTAATGTTCAGCATTTTCTAATCGATTTTTTATTCTTCAGTTTATTCAGACCAAGCTAAAAGTTTTGTGCAGTAAGTAAACAAATATAATACAGCAAGTGGGCAGAGAAGCCAATAAAAAACATCTACCAACACGTCTTCACTTCACACTGCTCATACCTGTCTATCCAGTGCACTGCATGCTAGTCGTTTAGCATCTCTGAGAAATAGACTGCCTGCTCTGAATGGGTTGCTTTGTTTTATCAGCAAAGGGCAGCACCCCCTTGTAATTGTTCCGGGTCTTTGTGTTTATTCATCTGTTATGCCCTGGCATCTGTGCGGTGCTTGTAGCCAGGCAAACAGGCCGAGCGTCCACAGGTGAGTGCGGCACACACATGGGCTTTAATTCCCAAAGACGGACATGGCGCACACATCCTGTGGTACACTCATGCCCACTGTAGCGGCTGCCATGGGGGGGGGGATGGGACAGAAGGCTGGCTTATCAAATATTTATCTGTTTGCTGTGCAGTGTGCAGATTCTCTGGACTGGGAAAATGCATTACGTTTGGATCAGTGTGGAGCGGCATCAGATAAGTAAAACTGGAGCCTTTGGAGAGGAAATTTGTTTTGTTTTGAGAGAGAGAATGGCTAAGTGTTTGGAAACTGAATGGTCAATATGATTGAATTCTGAAGCTGTGGATGTAAAAGGATGCATAACATATGCAAATAATAAAAAAATAAAAACGGTATCCCATCCCATGCCAACTAGATCAAACTGTAATTGACTCCTTCTGAAATCAAGGTATGAATTTGATCCTGCACTCAAATATGCTGGGAAAATATATATAAAAAATGGTACAGGCATACTTGACAGTCATCATGGTGCCTAATGCAATATATTGCTGGGCAACTGGGCATCTCTCAGAAGGGCTGAGGGTGTAATAACCTCTTACTGCAACTCACTTCAAAGCTGTCCCAGCTAAGCTCAGCTTCTCATCCTATAGCCTCCCGTGTGCTCCGTGTACAGAGTAAGAGTTTCCCTCCCGTGAGATCTGGGAAGAGAAACTGCTCACACAGGCCTTTCTTGGAATTTGCGAGAAACAAGTAAAGTTGACGACATTTCTGGAAAGGGAACAAAGAGAAAATGATTGTCTGTGGTACAGTTTCGATGCCACGTGGATTTGCGAGCTTTAATATGGTGAATCCGAGTGAGAAAGAAAAGAAAAGCTAGGAAAAATGATATGAAGAGAAAGACAGCGTTAGAGATTTATACACAGTCTGCTAAGTGCCAAGCTGGATTATCAGCGTTGAAACAGAGCTTTTTGTCTTAAGCTGTACAACGGGCGCCAATCCATTTGTAAAATTAGAGTCCAAACCACTGCCACTCAAGTGGAAAACCCCATTCAAATGCCCTGAATATAATCAAACGTAAAGTGCTTACAACAACGACTTGCTTTTGTTTGAAATGCCGTGCTTGATTATTCGTTTTTTTTATTTTACGCTTACTAAATCCCCATTGAATGCTCCGCTACGGAAGATACTTAACTATCTTATTACATAAGATAAATTGAAACCTAATATTCTCTTTGTCATATTTAGTTTGAAGTATTGTGCTGCTATTTTCAAAGAAATTCTCTCTACCTTTCAAATACTAGATAAGATAACAAGCAAGCTGTTTTCATGAAATTTTTCTTAAACGGACCTTGAAATATGAGGTTTTAAATGGTTAAAAACTCAAGTGAAATGCAATAAATGACATTTGTTTGCTGTAAAGAGTTGCCTTAACCAAAGGGTCTTCTTTAACACGAAGAAAACAATGGTTTTAATGTCATTTAGAGGTCTACATTTAGGTTGACATTGTATGGTGCATATGTTTTGACCCGTTTCTCCACAGACTCTGCACTATGCACACAGAAAGGATTCCCAGTGTTCAGTACTGCAAAAATACATCACTACCCATCATTACTTTGTTTTTCCATTAAAAAAATGCACGCTGCGTGACTACGACACTTTTGACAACTGGCTCACTTTGAATTGTTACGTAAAGTATGAGCGTTTGTAGCTGCAAGTGAAATCACTGCTGTCTCTACTCTCAACCAAAACAAATACAGTGTCAGTGATTAAATAATAATTCAGATTTCATATATGTCACGTACAGTGCAGAACAGAAAAATAAAAAAATAAAAGGATGCACTGAAGAGAATCAGTGTGACACCATCAGCTCCACAGTAGCCAAAGATAAACAGCAGACAGCAAAATAAAACACGTTTTCTAAATGTGCTCGATATGTCCCCTGATGACCGGCACGATCACAGGTAGGTTCACAGTCAGGGTGCACTAAGCTCCAGTGTCAACAGTGATATTGACTCTAGCAATGGGATAACCACACGATAAGAAGCTCAGATAAAATATAATGTTTACATTTCATTCGACAGGTACCCTCAAGAGTATGGCTGATGATCTGCTGCGCTCACAAAAACAACACATGTTGCAGTTTGTGGGATTTCCTGCCGGCTTCGGAGCTGGATTAGGCGGTAACACCTCGGACGATGCAGCTCCCCGTCAACAGAACAGCTGATGTCTATCCCTCTTAGTCAAAGTGTGTATCGACACAGATCAAACAGACCCTCAAGGCAAAGTCGTTCTGGACAAGAAGAGGCCGTCTCATTTAAAGTCCTCCATGAGGGAAATCAGAGTCGCTAGAAAATAAATTACAGTCATGTATATACACTGGTTTTCTTTTTGTGTCACAGTAAAGTAATGACTCAGGGATTTAAAATGAGATCTCAGCCCCTCTTCATCTGCCCAGCACTGTGGCCCAGATACTGCCACGGAGAGAAAAAGCAGTCCTTTTTTAAACGTTCAAGACTTCTGTGGCCACATGGAGAACGTTTCATTTTCCCACCTACACAAGAGACGAGTTTTAACAAGCCAAGCTTAAAATAGTGTTTGAACAGAAGGTGGGGAGAGGAACGAGTTATTGCATTACCAACTAAAAACCACATGCACATTCATTTTTGTGCTTCAAACTACAAGAGAGCAGCAGGACATTGGCTCGCACTCATTATCGTGACGTTTGTGCTGAGTGTTTCAACACTCATAACAACAATTCGAGTTTTTCTGAATGACAACCTTCAAAAGGCAAGAATGGTCTTTGCCAGGGGGGCTGATTGTCACACAAAGCCTGTGTAGTAATTCTGCCCTCTGCTAACAATTCCACAGCAGAAACTGAGTAATGAATGTCCAAATTATTTACAAAAAATAATTTGTGTTGGCAAATAACCTCTCTGTGGCACAATTCTGATTGGGTTCTAAAAAGAGGTGGCTGATGGTTTTAGTTTGAGGGAAATATAAGGCTTCTTGATCCACTTTTTGGGACACTGAGAAGTCTGAACAAGTCAGACGGTGTATTAAAGCCAGCCAGCCCCATGCGTCTTCAAGCGTCCAGAGGTAACAGTAACATTGTTGCTGTAGGGGCTCCTGGGAGCTGATTCTGTCACAGTCTCACAATCTGCTTTTTACACCACCGTTCAAATGCTCTCCCTTCCAGGTGGTCAGACGTGGGTCTGCATGCGCTTCTGCAGCGGCCGGGTGAGGTCTGAGTTCTGCGAGGAGGACTGGGAGTAGTGGGAGGAGGAGGAGGCGGATGCTTTGCTGTCTTTGTCGAACTGCACATAGGCGTCCGGCTTACTGTAGCTGCTGACGCTGCTGTCACACTGCGTGTCGATAAAAGAGCTGGAGTCGCTGAGCGAGGCGCGCTGGAACTCCCGCTCGCACAGCTCGATGGAGCTGCTGCCCATGCCCAGCACGAAGCGCTGGCTGTAGTCGTAGAGGCGGTTGGGTCCGGCTCCCAGGGTGGAGTAGATGTTGGTGAAGGACATGCCCGTTGGTACCCGCTGCTTTCCTAGGGTCCCTGTGTTGGTGGGGTTCCTCACTTCAGCGGCCTGATTCCCAGCTATGGTGGGTGTGTGGTGCTCCTTAAAGGTATTGACGCTGTAGTAGCCGTTTGTGGGGTCCTATTGGAAACACAGGAGAGAATAAAGTATTTATTAATTCCACATACTTTTACATTCTGTTTTTATTTCATCCTGGTTTACATTACATTGTTACTTATTATACACTTTACCCAAAGCAAAGTGGACACTAGGGATTGTACCGGTGCTCCACTGATCTGACGCTTAGCGCACTAACCCACATCAGCCCTACTCTATTGTTTCCCTTGCACCATAAATGTGTATTTCTTCTTGCACTATTCGAATGTATTTTGATGTCTTAATTAAGTATATTTTGTGTTGCAGTGTAAAAGGAGCCTGTGGTTTTATATTGCCAAAACGAGGCTATAGCTTTGGTGCATATAAAGCCTTCAAATCTTAAATCTTATTATAATCATAATACTATTTTATTTTTTTGCGGGAGCCAGTGTATCCTTTATTAGCGAGAGGGGGAGAAAGGAGGACTGAAACGCATAAAGGGACCGCTGGTTGGATTCGAACCTGCATCTGTCTCAGCAGGGAGGAGCCAATGGGCCGCCAGCTCTACCATTTCAGACATGCGGCGTCCATATTAATGGAATTTTTAAATCCATATTGGCAATTTAATATAGGAAAAAGAGGGGAAAAGGAAAAACCATGCCTTTGTTTATATGCATTTACTTGTAATTGTCTCAGTGCTCAACAGGAGCCAAGGTCAAACTGGCAGTCATTACCTTTCAAATTTCAGAATAAATAAGCAGGCTGCCGTGCACATCAGGAGAAAAAACGGATTTAGTCAGCCCCCACGCTAACCTTAAAATCATGTTTCCCGCTAATTAAGCGGGCCTTGATGATTCATAGTTTGGCATCCAACGTGTAACTGCAAAGTTCACTCCCATACCAGCTTTAATTGGACCAAAACGGATTGTAGTGTCTGCCATTTCATGTTTGCACTGAAATGGCTTCTGAGGCTACAGCTGTGCGACGTGTTTGTCTGCTCGGCTGCAGACACTGTGCTGTTGCTAAGGGTCCAGTTAGAGTACGAGTGTGTGTGTGTTTTTTCCCTGTGAATGTATATAAATGTCATGCATAGCGAGCATGGTGGCAAATCCCAAAGGCAGACTGCTGGAAAGGGGAAATGAGAGAGACGGCCCGAGAGGATTGTCGTTATGCTTGTCATTATCAGACAGCAGACAGGGAGATTGTTTGTGTCTGGCCTTCGTACTCGTTCGGTCCCCCCTCTGATCTCGCCTACTGCACGCTGTCAATGACTCGGATCAAAAAAATCCGGCCCCGGAGGGAGAAGGTAAGCAGGCAAACAGAACAAAAGCACACTCCAGAGAGCCAACGGCAACATTGGTTTGGATAAAAAATGAACAGGTCAGAATTTGTTCCTGTGGCACTGATAAGCCTAGGTATACTGAAGAGTCTGAATGGACATGTTCCCTCTATGGCAGCTGTAGGCAGTCCAAAAAAGGGGCTTAACATGGGTCCAATACAAAAAATATGACTCCCAGCCTCACCCCCTCTATGTGTCAACGCCAAGAAACAGGTGAAAGCAGACAACCAATAACCGCTCAACCTCAAGCGAACACACCCACCATTTAAAATGACAAAAAATACATCATAATAAACAGAGACCTTACATGTGGCTCCTACACCCTCATTTAAAGTCAGAATGGTGAAAAAGTTTGTTGGATTTAACTGCAGTGTGGGAGTGAATCTACAGTCTTGCCAACAAGCATACAGGTTTAAGGTGGAATAAACACCTGCTGAGATAATGTGCTGTGCTTGATTTACCGATACATGAAAAGCACAGAGGGGGGTTTTATTCAGGGTTAGTAAACACTTTCGCCTTATATTGGAATAACATTAACAGCATTATGTACACATTGAAAAAGAGGAAAAGTACAGGGAGACTGTTACCAAGTTTTCTTTGGAGGATTCTTTGGAGGATTTAGTGACAACACTTTGTTTCTGATTAAATTACATTTTTGCACACAATAATATGTGATTGTGACTATTTATTACACGCAGTGACTTTACAGAAGTGTGTTTATTTCCCCAGTGATGTGTTCATAAAAAAACTGTTCTACTTTTGACAAAGGGAGTGCAATAAAGAAAATTCACAAAACAATCCACAATACAGTGCTGCGAGCAACGAATGGAGCCTTATAGTACACAAGGTGGCCTTCACTTGCAGACGGCCTATCAGCCATGGAAAAGTGAGATGAATGTACAATCTGCCAAGTAACATGTTGATGCTTTATTGCAGGAGTTACAAGAGCAAAAGTGCTTTCAAGTGCGATGGGAGAACTGAAAGAAAAGCGCCCTGTACAGACTGATCCGTTCATGGCCGTGTAAATGGGCGGGCAACTATGTACATCACTAACGTCAGTTTAATTACAATAATTGAATCCTGGCTTCGCTTAACAAGTAACATTGGGTCAGACTCATATATCAAGATTCTATATAAATGCTGAGTGAATTGGTGATGTGATTACAATTTGTGATTTAGCTTTGGTTGTTAAGATACCATAATTAGGCTTATCACGTTGACTCAAAGAGATAATATAGAGATGTGGGATTTTGATAAGAAGATGATACGTTTGTTGGCTTTCTACAGCTTAGTAAATAATATGTTGCAAATTAAAGAGTTTACCATAAACTACTATAGTGTATTTTTAATCTATGTAAAGTATTTTGTAAGTGTGCATCAATAAATGTAAAGCATCTAAGAACATTTACGTTATAAGACTTCACGAACACACCTGAAATGCCTACAGTCATCCTGAACTGATATTACAACACTGGGATTGTAAAGAGTCGTGTGCATAATTATTACAGATGAAACAGATTTCTGAGATTGAATGACTGTGCTTAGTAGACTAAAGATTAAAGTCTGTCTGCAGGTCGCGATGGTTTTAAGATGACAGATAGCACAATAATGGGAACATGATGTTGCTTTAAAGAACACCTTGAACACATTTCAAAGTATTGAATAATAATTCACCTTGGTTTAGAAATGTGCTAAAAGAGCAAAATCAGTGTATATATATACATACCCAGAAGCTCTACCAGTCCTCGATGTTTTTCACAACATTCTCTATGGTTTAAGTAACACTTGAAGATACTTAAAAAACTGCTTAAGGGTCACCAGCCTTCTATTTCTTCAAACCATCTTTGATGAGAGACTAATTAATACAAATCAGGCATCTATCGAAGTCGTTTCGCCTCTGGAATTATCTTGGAAAAGGTCTGTGTAGCAGGAGAGATATTAACGCTTTTCTGCTATTTTGGTCCCAGAGTTAAAGACCCAGCATACCCTAAGGCTTCTCCCCGTCAACACCTTTTACCCACCCTCATACTGTCGTTATTCACCAGTCGTACCTTAATGTGCTGATACTCCTTCTCTTCCTCTTGTAATACCTCCAGCTGCTTCAGAACAGACTCCTGCTGGAACTCTCCGCGTTCAACCTGCAAGGAAATCAAGAAAAAAGTATTTACAAAGAGTCTGTGTAGTTTCCGAAACTCTTCCACTCAGAGGGAAAAGACATTCTGAGGCGGAAGCATTTCACTTTCATCTCTTGTTATTCTTTTAATATCAGTCAGACATGTTTCACCTTCACTCAGAGCTGGCAGGGAGCATTAATAATGTATCCGTGAATATATTTTATTTATCTTAACAGAATGCAGATTTGTGAGTGAGCTAAGCTCATTTCCCTGTACTAAAACCAAGTACTAAACGTATTAGGTGTTTTTGAAAGAAAATGTAAAACCTCACGCCACAAATAGCCCGAGCCCTGGAGCAAGTTTCATAATAACCAAAACACTGGTGCGGATCCAATGAGGAAACAGTTCTTTGTGTGTCTAGAAGGCATGTAGATACAGAAGAACACCCACTATAGGATTACCCAGTATGCATCTGCATAGTTACAATGTATTGGGGTCGGTTCTGTTCATAATACTTGTGGCATCATAGTGATAAATATAGACGCCATGCCTTGACTAAATCATATGAACATATTCACATCCTGGTCATTCATTTCTCATAAAACATATGTATTCCACGGGAAATAGCAATACAAATACAAATACATTGATCGCCAATTAAAATAGACCCGACAGCTTGGGAATGGTAAGAATATCCAAACATGTAAAGATTGTATTTGTTAAACAGACACAAGAAGTGAAAAGTAGAAATTTGTGACACTCACACTCACCATCAGTTGTTTCATGGAGGTGTGTTCTTCGTTTTCCCGTGCCGCGTTGTGGTCTTTGTGGACAATCTCCACCCGGATGTCGTTTTTCGCAGACACGACTCCTTTCAGATCTGGCAGAAAGAGAACGCATGTATATCTCAATAAGCCGGATAAACACCATTCTGTACTTGTTGACATTATAATTTCCCCTAAGTGCAGTTTGCAGTATTACAGAATTTAGCACAGATCCCTGGGTTTGCTTTGTGAGCGCTCCCCCTATTCCCAAAAAAAACAACAACATTACTAACATTATTAATAATTTGATTCGTGCCAACACAAGATTATCATTTTCTGCACACATATGCAATCTCACACAGCCTTCAACGGTGGCTCATTCTGTTTGGGACAATGATGATGATACTGTCATATAACAAAGTCTTACTTTCTGTCTTAATTTTGCTTGCAAGTTCTCTCTGGTGAGCACAGATGGAGACGGGCAGTGAGGGCATAACCAGGTGCGCTTCCTCTGTAGTATACAGACAATAGACATGCTGAAGGGACCAGTAGCACAAATCTGTTCTTGGTTAGAGGCAGTGGCTGACTGCCTCTAACCTGAGTCACTTGGTAGATGGGTGGGTGGCAGTGAACATGGCGCAGGATGTAAATAGCCTCAAAAAAGCGAATGCAGCCAGACTGAGATTGCATGGAATGAGCCCTTATTACAATCTGGACAGCACAAAAAGATGTCCATCTCAACAAGTCTTATAATATAGCATTCAGTGTGACATTATGTTCTAGCTAAATATTTTTCAGGAAATCTTGCAAGCATTTAAATGAAAACAAATATATCTGCATTTAAATAGATGGACATTTTTCTAAGTGTGCTTTGGGGGCGATACAGTACTTTGGAATGCATGCTTCAGTGGATGTAACAGGGGGAGAGGAGACGTACTTCTCTGGGAGCGAGTGCAACAGAATGCTCCGATGGTGCCCATGAGGACAATGAGGGCCACAAAAGCTCCCACTGCAATGCCGATGATAACCGCCAAAGGGAGAGATTCTGCGGAGAGAAACAAGGAAAGATGTCCTTCAACCGTAACTTACGACAAACATCTCGAATGTACACTCAATTCAATACATGTACACAAATAGAGTATACAACAGCTCCTCGTCTCTGCCTCTTTTCTGTCCCTGCAACAAACAGGAACTAAGAAAACATTTGCTGTATTTCATCCCTCTAAGGGAATATAACATTAGGTTATGAAATGAAAATACACAGACACAGTGCCAAAGACAAACAAGTTCTGTACTGCAATTTAAACGAAAACGAATTATCAAACCTTTTCTTATGAGTGCGGGTACGCATTTTCCTACTAATATTGTCTCATTATCCTACTGTCCAATAACTTTTAATTTACACTCATTTAGGCTAATAGAACACTTTCACCAGAGGCTTTTCTTTTCATTGAGTACAAGATTGCGTGCATTCGTTTAGGCATAATCATGTTTGTGTGTTTCTGCGAGGTTTACAGTGCATTAGCGAATAGGAAGAGATTGCACTTGCATCTACACACTGCAAGCTCTCATTAAAGCACACTTTAATGACCTGAGCTACCAGCCCACGTTTATGACCTTCTCGCATTTTAAACAAATGCAAAACAACCTAGTCCTCTTCCTACACCATTAAAGCCTATTTAATGTCTTCATTGATCAATGTCACTTTCACATAAACAGCTTATAATTTATCATTTGCGATAAGTGGATAGAAAACACAGCTTCCCCTATGGTAGAGGGGAATAGGTCAGCAGACAGAAAGTATTAATTTTCAAGACACTGGTTTAATTCCTTCTTTTAAATATAGCAAGCAGGAAGCAAAGTGTGTTTTATATTCAGCAGGCAGTGTTGGCTGAGGGTCAGCACTTGCAATTACCATAGAGCTGCATTTGATGTAAAACCAGAACAATTATTTGTCAGGAGTCTATCATCACACCTACAGCACACCAAACGCATCAGGATTCAGGCCATGCAGGGTAACTGTGTATAACCATCTTGGAGTTCAAAGTTGATGACATTTCTGATTTTGAACAACTTTATTTTTATGGAATTTGAAAAGAATCTCAACTGAGGTTTATGTACTGTATGTACAAAAAGCTTTAGCATAGCATATACTCTAAATTATATATCTTAATGGTTAAGTCACAACTAAAATGTATTTTTTTGTATTTTCTATCAACATTATTTTCAATTAGCAAACTGGTTATGGAATTAAGCGTCATGCATACTTACACATGTCCACAAAAGCACATTCTCACACAATCACACTCGATCACACAAGCTCACAGACACGGTGATGCACACGAAACACTACAGCGTTGTCACTATCTACCACTAAAACCACAATAGTGATTTGAAGAAGAGGAAGGTGGAGCCTGTCGAACCTTGGCTCCCACCTTGTTCCTTAAGGCGTATGATCTCGGTGTCTGAGCCGAAGCTGTTCCAGGCGGTGCAGTTGTAGATGGTCTGGAAGTCTGCCGGGACGATGTTACTCATGGTGAGCGTGGAGATCACTCCTTCTTCTGTAGTGACGGTTTCCACGGTGTAACGGCCGGACGTTCCCGACTCCAACACGGTTTCCTTCCATGACCAGGCCTAAAAAAGAAGGACATGACATTTGTGATGATCAGTGCCGCTGTAGAGCAATGTTATGATGTTTATGTCGTAGTTGCTGGCCGGCTTTGTTGTGATTAGTCAACCACTTAGACATGTCCTGCCGTTTATCAAGTACACTGTGTTGGAGTGAAAGTCAATCAGAATTGTGTTACATGGTTATGTCACTATGTTACGGAAGTAAACAAAGGTGTCTAATGGATAATTTTTCATCTGACACAATCAGCAGGTGGGTATTGTATCATAAACAATTTATTCAATCACCAAACTAATAGTTGTATGCTTAATATGATAACATATTGCAGTGATTACATGCTAAGACTAAGTTTGCACACATGGTAAACAGTGCTGTAGCTCTGAATGTTAGCAATTTCATTGTCAGCGTTGTTAGCATTATGACATTAGCATTTAGCTCAAAGCACTGCTGCAAAGTGTCACAGACAGAGCTGTTATTTGAAGGGGTGTAATGGGAAAGTGCTAACCTGCAATCATTATATGATTTCACCTATTGTGTTCTTTCAAAAGTCTTGCACTGTGGCAGCTTTTTGTCGCTAAAAATACACATCTCCCTGGAAACTCAAAATGACCAGGACAAAATGAACGTATCGCTCTACGATAACAATGGGATCGTTACGTCTGGTACCAGAAGGTATGGGTTACCAGTCGATGCAATGCCATTGGCTCATTGTGTCTGGTGAATAGCTTAGTGAATCAACGAAGTATCCCAGGGAAATTAATAAAATACTGTAATCTATTGTGTTATGGTTAAAATGTTTGTGTTAACTGGCCATTTGCTGGTGTTCATTTCTGCTTGACAAGCTGCCAGCTCGCTCAGATGTCTCTGGCATCTCTAGATGGAGCTAATGCTTAATGGATAACTGCAAATTGTTTGTACTGTAGGCCAATCTCTTCTCATCGCAGTGTCTGAATTACGGTGCTTTATGGATTTGGCTTTTGGAAGAATGCAAGTACTGATTGTAGAGCCGTGATTGCTTTGAACTATAAGGAAACAAGAAGTTCAGGAAATAGATACTGTGCATTGTGTTGTAAACAGTTAATGAAGAAAAAGGGCAAGATTAGGAATGTTTTACAATACAAATAAAGTGTACAAGCTAAGAATAAATCAATTTCTTAATTGATGGAAGAGCATTTCTGTTACTGATATATACTGACACATTGGCATATGTATTGCATTGCATGAACATTTGATTGCATTACAAAAAATATACTGTTAAGGTTCTTACTGTTGGGGAATAATTTGCTTAGGTATTCAACCTTTGACACAGTTCATCATTTTCTCCTTTCACTGTCTCTCTTCCCATGGCATAGGTCTACGGCCTTGGGTATTGCTGCTATCTCTCTTAAGGAGGGGCAGCTTGGGCGCATTGTTGTTGCCAGCTTATGAACGAGCACAAGCTGACATGAGGTAGTTTATTGTTCAGGGACATCTAGAAGCCCTTCTTTTTAGGAACGTAGGTTCCCTGGCGCACATTATTTTCTATGGACGAGAGCTCTAGTTAGATTCAGGGTCCATATTTGTTTAGTCTCTCTGATAAAGAATGTTGATTATTACACTCCAAACTAGTTAAAACCTGGAACTACAGAAGAGTTCTTCAGAATTGATTTGGCATCTCAACCGCTGTGTCAACTCGTGGCTCGTGACATGTCTTGTGAATTCTCCGGCCGAAGCTCCAAATAAACCATCAGTGTTTGCCATCAAAGCTCCAGCTCTCCTCGTGTCTCTCTGAGTCCTGACTCCAATTGCTTCAGAAGTTTCCCCCACACTTACAATACAATGTGTCATTGTACAATGAATTACTGATAATGAATGTTCTATCTGAGATACAGAAAGTCAAACAGTATATCTTGAATGAATGTGTTAATGTGAAATTAATGTGAACAACTGAGTGGGCTCGAATGTTTTCATTTATTTCATAACAAGGTTCAAGGCTAGATGGATCTGATATGATTGACTGAAGTGAAGTGGGATGATGTAGGACAACAATAGATATTTGCATATAATGGACTTATTTATGCATTGTGATGATAATGTAACACATACCATTTTCTGGGTGCTTTAGTTTGGACTACAACAACCTTGGTGTAACTGTTTTTATGAGAACTACATTATTCATTTTTGCTAATGTCCAATTAACACATTTTCTATGCTTCTTAAAAAGTGTGAAATACTTTTGGTATGGGAGTTGTGAAATGCAGTGTTACATCTTTACAAATTGTGTGTTTGAATGACAAAATCAAGATTTTCCTTTTCTTTGTTTTAATCATATTTTGTGGATTTTCCTTTATATCAGGCTCTACGTTGACGGGATAATGTTTGATACAAGTAATTCACAGTAAAGCCCTATGGTACAAGTGTGAGATGTACAGTATGGCCCTATAAATTGAATAGACTTGACATCTGAGGTCTAAAATGTTAATTAGTGTTAACATTAAGCAAAAGAAAAGAAAGCTGTATTGTTACTATAATAAACAGTTTTGAATACAGGATATTCATTTTTAGACCCCAGGAGTACCCCCTTTAAATAAACCTGATATTAATTATGTGGCTGGTTGTACATCAATATGATAAAAACACACATTAGATGACAAAGTATGGCAATTAGCCACATGTAAACACACAAATGAATAATAAGCGCAACGTGAGCTCTGAGAGTAGGCTGTTTATATAAGGTCCATAAATCTTAATGGGATCAGTGCTAACAGAGCATAATTGTGCATCAAATGAGAAATTGGTAGTTCAAACTGTAATTGAATGCCCACCTTTTCATATGAACACAAATGATGCAGTTATGAAATTCTTATCTTTACTCATGCATGCTGCCCAGGTGTAGTTAACAGATCAGTTGTTTACTCAGGCATTATGTTTCAGACGCAGATATGAAAGAGGGATTGTCTCATTTGCATTGTTCAGGTACCATTGATCCATGAAATATCCTATCATAATTACAGCAATGATGAGATACATGTAAATAAATCGTCCGGATGTACTTACGATGCGGTCTGGAGGAGGTGTACTTCGAATGAAACATTTGATTTGTCCTTTTTCTCCATGTAGCGCTTGCTGAGTCTGTGTACTGGATATAGTAGGTGGGCCTGAAAAAGAAAAATCATAAAAAAAGTTAGAGAATTGAAACATAAATAATTCATTTTCAGTTTCAGGTCATATGACAATTTTGCTCAATAGAGTTTTTGTGGCACATTATATCCTAATTGCTCTCCTGGTCCAAGTAGTAACACCTGAATTGTTTTAGCCATTTGGAAACTCTTGGGGAAGATTGCATTGCAGCGAGATATGCCTCATCCCTCGGTACAATCTACACAAGGACACGGCAGGATAGAACGAAGGTCATGAGCGGGGGCCCAGACCTCATTCTGGATCAAGACATTGTTGATTTATGGCTGGCTTGATTTCTCCCGTGGAGATAAACGTCGCTGGAGAGAGCTGCAGCAGTTCTTTGGAGCGTAATCAGCACTACACAGATGGAAAGAGAAAAATGCCATTGTGGGGAGATAACACACTTGTCGCAGTGTATCACCTCAATCAATTTGCTTGCAGCAGATTTGACCCCTGAACCAAACGGTTGGCGAAGAAAACGTAAACATAAAGCCGCAGCTCTCTGTAAATATGAAACCCAAACAGGGACGCTGTTTATGTTGTATTGTTTTGCAGGTTTTTGTTATTCATTTTGTAGCTGTAAATGCACTCAAAAAGAATGTTTCTCCCATAGGAATATTGCATGTATTGTGTTTGATTAAATGTGTTTATTTGTTTATTCCACAAATGGCAGTTATTTTAAAACAAAACATGTACACGTATACTGTTTTTTTTTTTATAGCGCATGGTGGAAAGGAGCAGGGAGAAGAACATCTTATTTTAACTGCCCCTTCTTACAAAAAAATAACAACACAACAGAAAAAATGAAATAACCATTAAAAAAGTAAAATAAAATCAATAATCTTTCAGTCATAGTTTCTTACAAATACTGAAACGTAAAACCAGAACACAATCAAAAGTCAACTAAGTCTAATTACTGTCTAAATGAAATCTTTACTGGAGTGAAATGATTTCCATGGTGAGCTGCAGGTTTGCACTCGAAGGCAGCGTGTTTTAAACCTCCGTCAGGCTACAAGATCTCGCCTGACAAGGGCAGCTCAGCCTAAACGACTGGTCTGCGGCCATCTGCTCTGGAGGCTGTTCACACCAGGTGACAGCACTAATATGAAGACAAGATGTCACACATGACCCAATTCTGTCCCTCAAGTGTATTTCCCCTTTGGTCCTGAGGAGCGTAACTAAATTACGGTTTAAAATAGTGCAGAGCCAATGCTTTACATTTACTGTCATTGCTGTACAATAATATCACTTTGGAGCAATTGTGTTAAGCACATTTTAATGTTATCACCTAATGATGTAAAGGTTAACAACATGTGTTATAAAGACAGCTAGCAATCTTGCTGAAACCTGATAATCCTAATATATTTAAACAGCATTAATATCCTAATAACATTTATACACAACTGTTTTAATAATAAACGTTTTATATTGTAGTACACTGACTGTTCATGTGTTTACTTTAACTTTTTAAGTATATTTTATTTTATTTGATCTTTTATAGACACTCTTACGTATGTTACATTATTTCTATTGTATATTTGTATATTTGTCTTTTATTTTTTGTATTTTGAAAATCGAGCAAATGTCACGAAACCCAATTTCCCCTAGGATGAAGTACTATGATTCTGATTTCCTTTTCCTTTGTTATTATTCTGTTGAATATGTTTTTTTGATCTTGTATTGTGCTTGGATTAGTGGACGGTGAGAGCTATGAATAAGAGACCCTAGCCAAATGATCTGAGTGGCCTATCATTGGTATAAGGCTGTAAGAGGATGGAGATGTATGAAGAACCAAGACAATGTAAGGCCCTGTGGAGTGATACGTTTTATCTTGAGGTCTTGTCTGTATCAAAAGGGACCAAGACTGGATATAAGAATTGTTATGACTGACCGATGTAACTTTGATTGGCACATATTTATTGTATTTTGAGCAAATGTTACGAAACCCAATTTCCCCTAGGATGAAGTACTATGATTCTGATTTCCTATTCCTTTGTTATTATTCTGTTGAATATGTTTTTTTGATCTTCTATTGTGCTTGGATTAGTGGACGGTGAGAGCTATGAACAAGAGACCCTAGCCAAATGATCTGAGTGGCCTATCATTGGTATAAGGCTGTAAGAGGATGGAGATGTATGAAGAACCAAGACAATGTAAGGCCCTGTGGAGTGATACGTTTTATCTTGAGGTCTTGTCTGTATCAAAAGGGACCAAGACTGGATATAAGAATTGTTATGACTGACCGATGTAACTTTGATTGGCACATATTTATTGTATTTTGAGCAAATCTTACGAAACCCAATTTCCCCTAGGATGAAGTACTATGATTCTGATTTCCTTTTCCTTTGTTATTATTCTGTTTAATACGTTTTCATCTTGTATTTGTGTCTTGATAGACTCAACTGATTACGCTTCAATTAGCGGAGGACTGGATATAAGAATTGTTGTGACTGACCGATGTAACTTTGATTGGCTCTTCCCACTATCACTCAGAGATTTCGAGTTTCAACATTTTCACAAATCAGACTTGATCAACTTAATCACGCCTTGACATCAAAAATGTGCCTCAATCAGGAGACTTGATTATGTTCACATTAGAAGATCACAATTTAGGTGTTCTTTGGGTGAAATGCCAAATGAATAAACAAACCGAAATAATCTCGTTCATCCACCTCAAAACATTTTTTTAATCTCGATGATCCCACGAAAATAAATTCCATCTCATCCTTCTTAAATTCTTTTTAAAAAAAGTCGTTAAAATCAAACATTAATCATGTCTCGTGGTTAAGGTTAAGAATGTGGGTTTGAGGGGGTGGCAAGTGAGGCAGCTTCTTGATTAGTGAGACAACTCGCTTCTCCGCCAACTTCCCTCAAACTCTCGCTCTCTGCCATCTCTCTGACGATACATAATTGCAGTTTATTACCTGTCTCTTATTAAAAAGAATTAGCATTTTAATGAGACTTTGCCAGATGGCGTCTTGGTATGCTACGAGAGGATGCTGGAGGCTGCAACTGCTGCAGAATCAATGCTGCACACAATTTAAGAAACATGTGTCTAAAGCCCTTCTTTCACAGGATTGTCAGAAATTAGAGCTGGCACTAGTGCAGCATGTATGTGATATAAGTTCATAGAAGGACATTTTGACGTGCATGTTTATCTGGAGATGATATGTAAGTATTGGGTTTGTATAAGCTCCAACTGTCAACAAAGAGTAAGATCGATGCCTGCGTGCTGCTAAAGAGCGATGTTAGTGGATGTGGAAGATCTATTCTATGGATCAGGGCTGCAAATGAGGAATATAATTAGATAGCTTTATCTCACCGGCTCAGACCGGGTTGAAAGCATGTGTGTGAGTACGTGTTTGCTGCTGCTCACACTATGGGATCAGAGCACAAACACGTCGGTAGCTGCGAGGTGGGTGGCTCTACAACATCAATGTTAGCCACAGGGGAGGTAATCAAAAATGTTGGGTGAAAAGTGTCGTTCATTCATTTGAGGAGGTGTTCACTCTGGAGTGGACATTGCAATCTGATTACACAATATCAGTGTGGGTGTCAAAAGGCTGTACATTTTCTTCCAAAACTGAGGCATCCGCCTTGAACAAAAGCTTGACATTTCCCCGCTCCCTCATGCCGCTCTTTTGATATCTCTCTTTTCTTTGGAGATAAAAGAGAACATGATACACCAACAGGGCAACTGAAACAGAAGAAGAGGGCCTGGTGTGGTCACTGGTGGCTCCTTTGTCCTCTGGGAGAGATCCATGGTGAGGGGATCATATTTAGTGGAGTAAACTAACTTTGGTTTCTGAGGTATAATCACAGTAAAGATATAGATACATACTTGTATAGAAATAATTGTATATATGTATACAAATGATTTTCACAAGTGTATTTGAGATTTTGAATTTCGAACTCTCTTATTTAAGACATTCCAGTCTAACCGGTCCACATATTGGTAAGTGAGAGTGAGTGAATTGTTATTTATCTACATACAGTAGCTTGTGGATGTGTGTGGATGTGTGTGTATAGCTGTGGGGGATAGTCATTACTGCTGATTGAAGGGTAACTTCCCTGCTGTTTGAGTCCATCTATTGTATGCTATATATATATAACAGTAGTGAGTGGATGCATGACATTTTACATTACATTTCATTTAGCTGATGCTTGTATCCAAAGCAACTTGCAATCAACAACAGAAACCTGCATTCCCTTAAAATCAGCAAATTACAAAGAATGTCATCTTCGTCCGTAATTGGTCAGCTGACGCAGCCATCACTTTTAACTTATGCAGAAATAGTCCCTTTCTTACCCCGAATGCTCCTGAAAGCCTCACCACGCTTTGGCTCAAGACGTCTTTACAACAGGGACCAGACTGTCATTTCTCCCCATGTATTTTGCTGCATGCAGTGCGAGCCATACTGTCTTCGCTTCACACTGTGAAATACATTTACAGTAATAACTCAGAACAGATGACACTCTTCAGTTCATCCTATAGCCATAATTAGCCCTTTATCCGAATATGAGAAGTCAAATGGTGCTGAAATAGTCATTTAAACCAGTATTTACAGACTTTGTGGTACGGTCACATTAATAGGTTAATTAATCTGCCTCATGACAATACACACCATTTTAATCCAACACTGGAGAACCACTTATTATGTTTTTATCTAAACAAAAGTATTGATGTGATTAGCCAAAGCAATTACACCTAAAGAGCATGCGAACTGATGATATCAGCGAGGAAAATGATCGAAGAGAAAACATTGACAGAAATCTAAAATATCTAAATATTGTTATTATTATGTTGGCCTATAGCTTTAATGGCCTTTGTTGAGATAATATAGTTGAAGTTAACTTCTAGCTACCACTTTAAGATCCAAGTTGAAATCCAGGGATTATTATTAGCGGGAACTGACCTCTAATGGGCTGGCTGCTTATTTCCAAACTTCCTTTCCACATCACTGGATGTACCGAGGGGCATAGCTCAACCATTCGCCCTCCCGAGAGAAACAGAGCACCTTGGAGCTGCTGACCTCAGATCTGTTGTGCTCTAAAAACCTTCCAAGTCTAAACTTCACTATGAACTATCCTGTAATAAAACCCCACTTCTAGTTTTTTAAACATAGAGGGGAATTATTGGAAGGTATATGCAAGTAAGTGAGTCTTCCAGGCATGCAGATCATACTGTATGTTACCATGCTGAAATGTAGTTGGTCAAATTAAGGTTGGTTTTATATGTGGTTTGACGTCAAATTGGGCAGTGTGTTCAAACGGCATTGTACGGGGATGTTTAGGTATTAGCAAGAACAATGACACATGAGTTAACTTTAAATACTTAACTGGCCTTAATAGTCTAAAGGACTTGACACAGATTGTCAGTAATGTTAGTTTTGAGTGAGGCTAAACAATACGATTTCAAATATTTGGTGACTTTATCCAATTAATGGCTGTTTGTAAATGTTCTGCAAAAGTTTTCAGAGGTGGAAGGAAGTGGCTAGTTAGGTGAGACCAGCTGTCAGTAATATGATACATCTTGCTTGAACACCTGAACACTCTGCTGATAGTCATACTCACCATCATAATTTGAAGGCAGTATGAAGTAATTGAGTTTGTAATGTGCTACATTTTAGTATACGTGTGTTGCATTTCAAAAGCAGTTTTCTCCTTCTCCATTCATTTGCAGTGTTGCAATTGATGTTGGTGCCAGTTTGAATAATAATTGAATGCTCATATGCAGAATGCCCAGACACACAAAGGCTGTCCAGAGACAGAAAAACACATATATAAAAACCCGTTGCTTTGTGGGATAATCAGTGATTTTCCGTCCATCCCTCTCCCTTTCTGTCGTAATGGGATTTTATCTACTGCCCAAGTACTGTATGTCGTTAAACATATTGCGCCTAACACAAATCTACAGATCTACTTAGGCTTGTGGATATATTAATTAATATGTATTGCATGAATATATGGTTCTTAAGTACACAATTTAAATCCTTTCAAGCATGTCAGATAACTTCCAACTTCTGCAGGACTATGGTTAAAGCCATGCATATATATTAAATGCTATATAAATAATCACACGCATGGACGTGCACAGTCCTCTCTTACACACGTAGTTGCTTGGCTAGTGCTTTTGAGATGCAGAAACGCTTTTCCGCTCTGAAAATGTTTGACTGGAGTAAGCAATATGTATCCATTAGTGACTTAAACACAAACTGCCTCCCCTGCTAGCTGTTTGATTATAATTAAATTACATTCGTCCCCAGGGAAAGCAGGAATCCTCATGTCTATGTGGTTTGCCACAGTGGGAGCCAGTGACACACAACGACAGAGACGCGAGAGACAGACTGAATGACAAATTATAAACACATGGAATTTAAATGATGGCTTTAAGAAATCGGGGGATAACTGCAGGGAAAACAAACAGCAAAGAAACATTTAAATGTGCAACAGCAGACACTGAACGCGTAAAATATGCACAGCATTGCCCGAGATCTACTGTATCATGGTGTCTTGCTCATCTGTTATGTTAGTTATTCACTGTCTGGAACCATTGAGTCCTGCTGATGTCAGTGATGTAGGGCTTAAAAGCTGATGAGAGGTGAGGAGCGCTCCCATTTATCTGCAGCTGAGACAGTGGCATAGGACAATCAATGAACCTCAGGAGGGACACCCCCCCCCCCACTCCCACTCCCAACACACCACCACTTCAACCACAGTGTTTGCACTTTCACAAGTTTGACAATCCGATTCGCCTCAAGGACCGGGTAAGAAGATTCCTCATGTGGTTCGGAAAAAAAAACTGATGAATTTCAATTATTCAGAAGGGTAAAAGGGAAGCAGGCTTTTGAATGTCAAATACCAATACAGGCAGGGAGGTGCAAGACGCAAAATAATAGAGGATGCATATGAGCAGATAAAAAGACAAACTAAGAGACATCCAGAACGTGCTCGAGTGAAGTCCGCAGAGACTAAATAAACATGCCATTTCAGCTTTGGTTGTACGCTTTCCCAGTGTGCTCGGAGTTATGTTGTGTTATAATCTTTATTAAAACAATCCATCTTCTTTCTCTCACGGCGTCTTTTTTTCAAAACAACACGTTCTCCAAAGAGATTCGTGGACATGTTCTGATATATTGTAAGTTATGTATTCTGTTTAGACATTAAGGCGGCAGAAAGGATGCCAGTGTAGGTTGCTATCAACAGAATTGGATAAATTAGTCATGATTTTTCCTTACGCCTCTTCTGCCTTGATATCAACCGAATTCCTGGCAAAGAAGGAGGGGGCTTGTTGCAGTTCATAGAAAGTCATGGTTCTGATCTTGTGCTGGAGGGAATACTGGTATCCCATTCTCTCTGATATGCAAAGCTGACGTCTGGGTTTTGAAAAGAACATCTTAACACACGCTGTTTGTTGCTTGATGTATTCAACCCCAAATCAGCACCAGGGTTGCTTACAGGCAAACTCTTTTGTTAGCTTTCGAAAATGTTCAATGATCTCAGCATTAGCTCAACATCATCCCGCCAGCTGCTTAAAACCCTTTTTTTCTTAATTTTGGCTCCGATTTATCTCAGATGGACACATGGAAAGTGGAAGATGTTAGATGCAAATCCCACAACTAAGATCCTCTGCCACAGCTAGGCATGCTTCCTGAATATTAAGCACTGATAATGAAGTCATTTGTTTGAGAGTTGCCAGGTCTCCCACCAAGGCTGGTATTCATTAGTCAGTCAGTGCCTCAGAAAAGGCAGCTTCACTGTGACTCACACAGAATATAATTAGCATTTTAGTACATTTCACCTGTTCATGCAATGTGTGACCACATCTTGTAAAGAGTAAGTCTATATTTATTGCTTTTTCTCTTCAAAGGCTTCACAATGATGACAGTCGATGTCTTTTGCTTTCTCGTGAAAATTCATTAGCATGTGCATGCTATGTGCCACATACTGGTGCGTTAATGTGTGGGCGTGTGTGGGCTTCTGTTTTGCTCCTGTGTATGCCTGGTAAAATGAACTAGCGATACTAACAACAAATGAAAATACAGCGAAGACATAAAGCTGCATATTCTGTTGGAAGCTTTTCAGATTCAAGGCTTTTATATATCACGGAGGGAACAGAAGACTGACTCCTGTGACAAATTGATTTTTTTTTGCCACTGTTGACCCCAGGATTCACGCTTGTATGTGAATGCATTTGACAACTTTGTGGGTGTGCATTTGAGCCTGTCTGTGTGAAAGACATATCAATAACACTGCTTACCATTGACAGTGAGAGACACATCCTTCTCCCCGTTTCCTACGCGCGGGACCACAGCGCGGCAAACGTATTTCCCAGCATCCTCCTGTCTGACGGATTTCAGCGTCAGGAGGTTTTCATTGCTAAGAACCTGCAGCAAAACAAAATCAAAGACGGTCAAAAGCAGTGACAGCAAAGGGACCTTCACATTGGAGTTAGCTTCAAGGCAATGTTACTTGAAGGCGAGACAAAAAAGGCCCCATTTAATACCTTAAAGGGCACCTCTCCTCAATTATTAAAATCCAATTTAGTATCTGAGCTCAGTCGAGAAAATGGGTTGGCTTTGGCCTTTGGTGTTGACAAAATGAAAAGGTGGAATGTCGGAATGTGTGGATCAAATCAACAGATCTCAACTGAGAGCATGTCATCAGGCTGGGAATGTAATGACTCAAAATCGTAGGGTTAACAACACATGATTATCACATCAAATAATCCACCAAGAGAATTTCATGATGCTGAAAACATATAAAGTCCAATATACAATAGGCTTTATCAGAGAAAAGCAGCTTTGACTCTTTTGTAAGCCACAGTAACACATCAATACACTCACCACTCCAGAGCCCCTCTTCATCCACACTATAGTAAGAGAGGGATTTCCTGTCCAGGCACAGTTGAACACGGCATCAGATCCAAGGTCCACCTGCAAGGACTGAGGCTCCGCAGCCATGCGAGGACCAACTGTTGAAATAAACATCATTTATTGTCTGTGCTACATCAATAATCAAGCATCAGCTGTGTTCGCGCCAGCCCTTGCATCTCCTCGTCAAAATAAACAAGGCAGTAAGAATCCATAAACCATGCATTATCACGCTGCGGGCATTATTGGAAAGGCATGCAGTATTTCTTAAGGAGCCACTCACAGTGGACGTCCACATTGCGGCTGATGTTGGTGCTGCCAAGAGGGTTGGTAACCTCGCAGGAGACGGGCTCTGTAAAGAAGGAGTGGTCTACAATAACCTCATATGTGTCGCTGGAGACCTCCTTGATTATGCTTCCTCCTTTGGCCCACCTGGTGAGACAGAGATTAGAAGACGGTTGGAAATGAGAAATGAAGGGAAAAGGGGGAGAGGAATTAAGACGGGTTTTCACACCGTCTTCTGTCAATAGCATTCTTTTGTGCGAATAAATCATCATTCTGGAGAAGGTTTTTCTGTGCTGGCTTCAGCATATTTTGGTGGCAGCCCTCCATGCTGTGACAAGCTCCCTGGTGACTGGGAGCAGACAGACGTTCCTCATTACGCGAGGCAGAGAGAGCAGCGCAGAGTGCCAGCTTAGAAAAACAAATCACAGAATGACAAATGGGTAGCGCCCTTACCTACAGTATGAAGACGTCGGTTGACACGGACTGTATTCCACACAACCGCTGATGTAAATAAATTGACACGGGATCACATAAAGAACATCTGTTTGTGTTTGTGAGTGATAGCTTCTGTGACAGGGATACAGATCGCAGCCACGTGTTTAGATGAGACTTTTATGATGTCACAGGCAGCGGCGTCTCGCTCTGCGTGGTGTGGATGGCTCTCTGCTGCTACATCAGACAAGGCCCATTTATAAAAGTGAAGCGAAGGCATCTGTTGATGTCTTGGGTCTCTTTGGAGCATTTTGACGGTGCTGTGGGACATACAATGCATCGTGCATCTAAACTCTTCCATCCTCCACAATAGAGATGTGGCTGCATGCTGATGTGGCAAACGAAAAACAACAACAACGGAACCGGCGCCTGTCTCCATTTTATATTCCTGACGGTACGGAGAGCAGTTTTCACGGGATAGGGAACGCATTTGTTTTCCCTGACTAAGCTGGCCTCATGCTTCACTGAAATGCTATCATTTAAATGAGAACAGATTACCTCATTCAATCAGCGAGTGACGTGATGCAGAATCCTAATTGGGCTTCCTGGGATTGTTTTGCACTTTTATTTTTTTCCAGTACTACATCTTTTCAAAGTTGTTTTCATGTATGACAAGCATACAGCAGAGAGCTTTGCAACACCTTTATTTCCCAAAATGTTGAAACAATTGTAGACAGTTGTTTTTGGCCTGTTACATACCTGGTAGTACTACTTGTATAGTGTCTGGCATTTCGCGTAAACAAACTAATGCATACCATACTTGGACGGAGAAGTGTAAAGACCAATATCGATGGTATAAGTAACACCTGGTGGTGACAAGTTAAAAAAAAAAAAAAGCAGTTGGCAATCTCTCCGTAAGGCGCACTGTGTGGCCAGCTTGTGGTCTTGTCCTCATTGGCAGATGGAGTCATCCAACTTTTTGTTGAATAGTCTAGATGTTGTAAATTCAATTTTGTCTTCAGAGCACTTTGTGGACTTCTTGATCACATTGGCTTATCTGAAAACAAATATCTCAAGTCCATTTATAAGCTGTTCCGGGGGTTTTCTATGAACTGATAAATAGTAAATAGTGCCTAGAAGGAAAAAAATACCAACGGCATTTCTATGACAGCTGGATAGACTCCATCAGCATATGAAGCCCATGTGACATGATCAAATGCTCCAGCACAACTAAAGAGACGTCTTGGAGAATGTGCTCTGTTGAACTGTTGACTATTTCGACAATGATGTGTGATGTACAAATATCATGTTACTGTTTCCATCTACACTCTACCAGCTCATACTGTAGGAGTTGTAAGAGAGTATAGGACAGATGCTGGGGCAGTCTGCTGCTCCCGATAGGAGGTTGCTGCAGCCAAGTTTGGGAGTCCTTGACGGTGTTGGAGCGAATAGAGACTGAATGCCGATGTCTGAGGGGAGCTCTGTTGATGTGCTGGGCCTTGTCCAAGACTCATGTCTAAACATAGCTGGCCCAGGGTAACACAAACACCTGCATTCCCATTGGGAGGTTAGAAGAGCCGGTGCGAGCTTACTCAAAAGCTGACTCACTTCACACTGCTGCTTCCTATTCAGGGATTTGATTCAGACAAAAGGTGTGGATCCTTTGCGCTCAAGAGTATCTGTGTGTGTGTGGTTGTGTGTGCAAGCATGTGCATACGAGGTGTATATTTTCACATACTCATTGGTCTGGAAGCTGACACTGTTGTAGAGATAACAAGTGTGCCGTGAATAGTAGCAGAGAAGGAAGGAGACATGGAAAAGTGGGAGGAGGAGGGGGGGTTGTATTTGCTGAATGTGATTAAGGTAATAAAACAGTAATAATTAAATTAGGCAGGTATCTGTGCCATCAGCATCAAGACCCACCGTAAATCAGGTCCCACAGTTATTATCGGCATGGTTAAGCACAGCACAGCGCCGCTCCACTTTCCCTCACATGCATATTAAAAGTGATGACGATTAAATTCTCAGAGAAATATAAAATAAATATGCAGGTTAGGTTACAGCATGCTGTAATTCTGACTTGGACATTAATTACAGAGCAATTTTATTTGATGTCATGGAATAAAGCGAGTCCAGGAATATGTATACCATCTATTTGAAAACAGTGTCATATTATAGGCTATGCCATTAGACCTTGAACAAATAACTTTTAAGGGGAATTCAGGTCACTTCTTTTTTGTACCTCTTTGATAATCAGTTTGATAGTTAACTTTTCAGTCGGATAACAGACTTTAAATGTTTAGTCCAAACTTTTCAGGGTCATTTTCAGCTTGTTATGGTCGCATTGATTTGTATTTGCAGGTGCACTTTAATCTACAATTTTGAACAACTTTCCAGGCATTGCACCTAGGAACTAACTTTAGTACACCGACACTTTAGAGTCACATTACTGTCCTTGACGCATTTAAAGCATGTGTGGCTGCTGCTAATGTTTGCTTACTGGCGTCGCAAATAATAATATTCCAGACACCGAAACAGTGTATCAATTAGCTACCTCAAAATTGTGCATATAGAGGCGAAAATATGGAGAATGTGGTGACAAGTCTGAAGCAAAAATCCAGCAGTAGCAACAACAACAAAGAGACGAGAAGTGTGGTGTGGATTCAAATGTTTTTTTTGCTGCAGTGTCATGCATGGGATGAGCTTTTGTTGTGGCTGTGTGCTTGTGTGTGCAGACATGGGACCTGATTTGCTTTGTTTGGTATTCTTTCTCTTCTCTCTGGTGGGTTCTTGTTTGGATCTGAGAAAACCCTCTGTGTCTTCATCAGAGGCTGGTTGAGTGATTATGATGTATGCCAGTTAGCCCTCCTGCCATTATAAACAGTAATGAAGATGTTCCGACCCACTCGCCTTTCCCTCTCAGAGAGTGTTGATTCCCTGAGTGAAAGGCATGCCCATTACTCTTACTTCATTCACACTTTCATCTTCTCTTCCAACCCCCGCCTCCACACCAACACCTCCCTGATCCCCTGACTTCTTCCCTCTTTACTGTCCCCTCGAGCTGTGCTCTGGCAAAAGTTCAGGTACCTGTAGAAATATATCTTATTTCCATTTCCACGTTCAAAGGCAGATTTATTGAACCAGGGTGGCAATCATGACAGGTGGTAGGCAGCAGAAAAGCACCATGCCTTTCGCTAGTGCCCCCACTATCTTGGGTCTGTGTCTCAAGTGTCCATTGAATTGGACGATGGCAAAGTGGCGCAGTGCACATTGGGAATGGATGGCTCTCTAGGGGATGGAAAAGAGGCCATCAGTCTAAGAACTACTCTGTCCTTGTGCCGTATCTGATCTCGGGTAGACAGAGTGTATTAGCACTGAAAAATGGCCCCACACTGCTTGACCAGCTTCCTGCCCTCCTCAGTGATATTGCTCTTTAGGGGGAATTTTGGGGGGGCTTCTCAGGCAAGCATTATGAGCCCCAAAAATCCCCTTTCTGCCATGCCCTGAACTCCAATGGTGCACGGGAGTCCTGAAAGGCATGTATACATTTGCAGATAAATCTAAATGGGAGACTATGAAACTGGTGGAGAGTATAACCTTGAAGTATGAGAAGTTATTAGTCTGTGTGATATTATTTAATCCTACAGTGGATTCTTCCAATGACAGAGAGCCAGAGCAAAAGCAAGATAAGGAAAGAAAGAGACAAGGGAAGAAATACATTAGAGAGTGGGAAAGTGGCAGTTTTACTCCCTTTTAGCTTCAACAGCCAACCGTTTTTCACTCTGTAGTTTGTCAAACTAAAAGGAAAAAGTCATCTCAACTGCTATTACGTCTTAGCTCTTGATACCCCGGGGAGAAGTCTGAATTTAACATTGATCCAGTCTCTCATAACAATAGAGGTGAAATCCCTTTGCTGGTGCAATAGACGTCCTGTCTATGCACCGACACAATCAAATACAAACCTTGTTTTCCACAATATCACTGCCCTCCCCCCCTTTTCTTTTTCAAAAGGGCAGAATCCATCAAAAAAGCAACATCTCTGTTTGGCCACCTGTGAGTGTGTTGTACATCCATTTCATTTCCCAGTACCATTACAAGATTCAGAGCCGGCCAATTCCCTTTGCTATCGATTTCATTCCATTTATTGTTCGCCATGTTTTGAAAACCTCCCACGCAGAAAACCATCTCTTGACAAATCACTTGAGTATCACACTTCTACAGGGCCATGCAAGACTTTATCAGAAAAATAACAGTCCATTTAGTTGTTTTATCACAATTACAGAAGTAATACAATAAATAACAACAAGTGTTACTGAGAACGTGCCCATCAAGAAGCTTTAATAAACGGAGGAAGTGGATACGAGGAATGCAGCTTTGTTGACTTGATCTCTTAAATGAAAAGTATTACATTAATGTGAGCAAAGCTGCTGCCAGTTTTAGTACAAGAAAGGCTGGTTTGTCTACAAATTCACTTGTTTATTTTGTTGCATTTTTCTTTTTCGGTCTAACTTGATTTGCGGTATGGCAAGTTATATTTCATTTACAACTGTATTTGCAGTGGAGCTGTTTGGCAATCAACATAAGGTTGGGATTATAATGGAAACAGGAAATGGGATGACGAACATGATGTGTTGCTTTATTGATTCATTTGTTTTTCATTTATTTTCTTACAAGCCCAGTTCCCAGGGACTTCCTCAGATATTGGATGATTCTGCACTGCACAATTTATGTACAGCTATGCCAGTGTTGAGCCTCTACAGGTAGTATTGTACGCTTTATTTAAACAGTAGGTGTAAAGCACAGAAAAATAAACAAGACCTGTTATTGAACGTAATCTGGCATGTTGTGAAATAACAGCATTCTTTCTTGTGATAGGGTTGTTGAATACGTTTTATACAGGCTACAGTAAAAGGTAAGTATGGTTAGCTAGCAAGAAATGGGCAGCCATCTGGTAAAGTAATAGTATGAAATATGCAACTGTGTTTTATTCGTACAAAAGCTTAATAGAGCATTGAAATACCTTAACATGTTTCTGTTGAAGTTAATAAAGTGAAAAAATATTTCGTCATCAACCTTGACATAACAGCAAAAGTGTAGCAAACACACAACTGATAGTAAACACAGTTTTTGAGACATTTGAATCATCTTAAAAAGAAAAAAATACCATAAAACTAAAATAAAACCTGCATGGGCTTCAACTCAAACTTACAGTACGCATTGTCATCCATATCCAAACATTCCTTACAGCATACACATAAAAACACAGCACACCCCCGGGGGGGAAACCTGCCTTCAAAATGTCGCTATAGCAAAACCCAATCTCCGAAAAGCTGTAATCTTGACAGCTTCATCAGATGTCACGCACATTATGTTTCCAGCTTTCCTCCAACACGCTGATGGACATTTAATGTTCAAGGGAGATGATATGACCACAAAGCAAGCAGCTATGCAACACAGCCCTGTATTGCTTTGCTGCAGCCCAAAGGAACAAGACAAGGTTTCCCAAAAGAGGTACATTTTTATTATATTTTATCAACATGACAGAGTATCGGAATTGTTTCTACAGCGGGCAGATATAATGGTGTCAGGGCATCAAGAGCAGGTGTCTGTCATTGATTCATTTGAATAATAATGTTGATACAATGTATTATCAACTAACATAAATATTACAGAATCCTTTTGAAGTTAAGTGTACCACCAGTTCATTATATTTGACATTACATGACCCTTTTGTGCCTTGGAATATATCTTTTGTTATGATCTCACCTGTACAGTGTGACAGGAGGGTTGGCCTTTGCAGAGCAGTGGAACTTCACAAGGTGTCCCTCCATAACTGGCTGAGGTTCCACTGAGAGATTGACAAGTGGGAGATCTAAAAACAAAAAGAGAAAAAGACAACATTTAGACACCAAGACAACAAGTCAACTACAGAAATGGAGGCTTCCTCAGACATCCTGCGGCGAACTGTATGCAAGAGACAAACACCATGTTGCTGACATTTTCAGAGGCTAAATAATGCTCAGAAAGGAAATCAATTAGAAGATATTTAGCAGAGAAGACAAATTAGACACCTTATAAATAGTTTATTAAACATGCAACCTCCAAAGAAAGGAGCCAAACCCTCTAACATGAAAATCAATTCTTAGTTTGATTCAGGGGACCAACATTTTCCAAATGTTTTTCTCTTGTGACCCAAAACTGATTCAGCAGCCTTTTATCTAGCTCTACCACACATACTGTTGGTAAATATGCTCCACTTAAAACCACAAGGAAAATGTCTTTCTATTTCGATTATCCTACAACACAATGTGGCAGCATTTAGAACAGTTGTGACAACTTATCACACGCTGTGGCAGCATTTTCTCCGAATAACAGGCAATTACCTCCCGAATAATTTGATGCCCTATTTGTTATCTTTCCGCCACCCACCTAAATAGTCTAAGCCCAGCTGCTGAATAACACTGTAGTGTATTTAACAGGTGTGGGAGAGAACATGCTATTTTTATTTTCTACTTTATATTCATTTGCGAATCAAAGGCAAACTTGACTTGATAATGAGTTTTAGTAAATGGCCATTTGAACACAGTGAATGGTCCACAGTGCAATTTAAACAATGAGCAACCTCTGTGATACAGTACAATTAAAAACAGTGCTTAGAATAACAAGCACACAGATTATTCAAATTTAATAAACAACTTCATTTATCCTAATTGACAAAGGTGGGATTCTTTTGAAGATACCTTTTTAATTTCCATATCAATCCAGTCCCATGTGAAACAAACAGCTTTTTACGCCACAGACTCAGAGGATGCATTTTAAGTAGCTGAAGCTATTTGTCAAGGTTTTTGAAGATAGGCGGTTATATTTTGATAAGCACTTCAAATGCAGCGAGGTAAAATTGATCAAACTGACCAATGATCAGTTGTTTATGCTTTTTGGTCTTCTCACCTCCCTGTAGTGTGTTATATAGGTTTTTTTGTGCTGGTAAATGGTCTGCAAATACTAACATCCCCCCTGCCCTGCCATTGGACTCCATTGTTTACTTCTGCAACATAATGACATCACTATGTAACACTCACACTTCTATTGCTCGAGCTCCAACACATTGTAGTGAATAGGCTAAGGGGCGGGACATATTTTAAGGGTTGACCTATCACAACAGAGTCGGTCAGCTAACTAATCAGAGCAGACTGGGCTCTGTTTTCAGACAGAGGGTGAAAAGAGGTGCTGCAGCACAGGCAGTATGAGAACAATTGTGGAGTATTTACTAATAAAACCAATTTGTTAAGGTTTAAAGAGTTTTTCGCACACTGTTGGTTTAATTGTTTATGTCGTGTCTACATACTGGAAGAATAGTCTCGATTAGCTGTGAATTGTTTTTTTCCAATAATATTTTAAACTACCCTAAACCCACTGAAAACTACTGAAAATAAAACTGCAACTGTTTATGAAATGCCACTTCAACAGCATCATTGCCGTTCAGTATCAGTGACACAGTGGAAAAGCATCATGGGCAGTTGATTAGTCACATAGGAAAAGAGCTGGTTCTGGGTTTTTTTGAAGCTGGTGCAGCCATCTGTTTCAAAGGTGTACTAAGTCTTTCTGCTCTGTGTTCAATAATACTAATGTACTAACTGGGGACTGTGTTTGGATTTGGATGAATAGCAATAGTGGGCATGGAGATCCACACAGAATTAAAGAAGCACACAAACAACGCTGTAATGAAGCCAAACAACATCATAGTTATGGAGTGTGAATGTGTGTGTGTGTGTGTGTGTGTGGGCATGAAGTGTAGCAAAAATGTTTTTTACCCTGTGGCTGTGCAGATGCTCTGGGCTGGCTCAGCTGCCACAAAGCCCCAGAGAGGGAGGTGGTCCAGGTGCCGTATACCTCCCTACTCACACACACCAAATTCCCCACCAGGAGACTTATTTCCCTCCTAGACAGTTGCCCCCCAACCCCCACTACCAACAACAACCCTACCACTTTCAAATCCGTGAGCTCCACCTGTGCCAGTTCTCCCCAGGCTAGTAAAGAAAATAACAACATTGTAGATCCTGGAGAGTGAAGGCCACAGTGAACCAGCCAGTCTCTCTAGGTACTGAGCAGCCATCTGTGTGTGTATTTGCATGTGTAGGCCCATGTTTAAGGCGGGTATGTGTGCATATAAAAGGGCATGTGGGTGTGATAATAAAACAGAAAAACCTATCCATGCCTTGAGCCTAGTAGGTGTTTTCAGCATCGCAAGTGGTTAATTGCTTGGACAAAAATGTGGGCAAAGGGAACCTCAGGGGCAAAATGACAGATGTGGTGTTGGTGGAGCTGGTAATAAAATCTAGTAAAAAGCTGGAGAGAACTGAGGGAAGCAGACATAAGAAGAGAGGGAGATCTGGAGGGCGTGCACGGCTAATAGACACAGTGTATGTGTAGAAGATCATTTGCAAGCCTTCTCACTAAAAATGTTCCTATATTGTACTTTTCAATCATGCCAGCCATTTTTCTCTGGTCCTCCCGCCAAGAGACTTCTAAGGACACAAATGCTCATTAGTGTCAATCTGGCTTTTAATTACTGTTATTTTTCAAATGAGTTAGCCGTTTAAACGGACCTTCCCTAAAATGAAAACCTCAGTCGAACTCAGCAAGGGGTAATGTCATGACGAATTTACATTTATTTCGAAGTTAGACGAGCACTTTGTTGGATAGTTGTATCTCCCTCAAGCGAAGACAGCGATGGGGGCACAAGCTGTCAAAAGTCTGCCAGCAAATGCCTTTGGTGTGAATCAGGGACTGTCGATTCTTTAACCTTTGACCCTTCAGATATGACAGGCATCTACTTAATAAAGAAGTCCATTTGCCACTTTGATGTATTAATGCATGAGCTGCTGAGCGAGAACATTGGACGCATCAATATGCAAGATTGTTAATTCCTCTGTTTCATCAAGGGGGGTTAGGGTTAGAGAGGAGGAGGGATGGATGAATAGAGGGAAATGGGGATAGTAGGACTGATCGGAGCTCCAGTGAAAACAACAGGATGAACGAGGGGGGGGGTGGTGTTATAGTTGGTCGACAGCTTTTGATGGGTTAGTTCAAAGTGGAGACCAGATGGTGTTTTTGGAACTTCCCAACTTCTCTGTGTTTCCTGGAGATAGTGCCAACACAAATTGTTTTTTTCCCTTTCTTAAAGCTCAATTTCCAATCTCTCCGGGTCACCGTAAGACAGAGGTTCTCCAGTAGGACTAGCCTCAAACTGCAGGAATGTCGGATGCCTCTGAAAGATGTGGAAGCTGTTTGTAGGCCATCCGCATGTGGCTTGTAGCCTAAGCAATATGGGCATGCTGTCATGTGACTGGCTGAGTGAAATACCTCAAAGGAGAACAGACTGACGGAGAACCTGATGTCCAGCATATTGATCATGAGATATTCAGCCGTGGTACAGCAAATAATTTACTTGCTTTAATGAAGGCAGATGTTCTTCTATTTATACAGCAGCTTAGATGAGCAGCGCTGTACTCCATGTAGCACATCTGTCCAAATATGTGCATAAGCATCAACATTTGTAACTAATCCTACTGTATCAAAAGATAGTTTTCAAAGCTATGTTTGGACAATTGGAAATATGATATCAGTATTGCAGCATAATAAGAGCTGAATGTAATCTACAGGAAAAAAAAGTGCTTTTCCCCTTAAATCTTAATAATATTTACAGAAAATAACTTAATTTAAGAGGCTACTCTGGCTCAGTACTGTAGGTAGATTGTCATCCTCAAATTGGAAGGCCATTGGCTTGATCTCCAATGTTGAGTCTTTTATGAAAGATACTTAACCTAAATTCCTGATGGCATGGCAAGCTATGTATGTGTTTGCATGTTAGTCTCCCTGAGCAGGTGGCACCTTGTATGGCAGCCTCTGCCTGTGTATGAATGTCTGTGAATGGGTATGAAAGCTGACTTGTATATGTAAAAGACCTTTGAGGGGTTTCAAAGACTGGAAAAGCGGTATATAAATGCAGTCTATTTACCATTTTCCTCTCACTTTCCAATTCTGTCATCTCCCTTCAGATGAGTTGCCATTATCTGCTTGATTAAGCCGGGAGAGCATGTAACTGCTACCAAAAACAAATCCTCCCCAATTGCACATCTGCATGTTCTTTATTAATTAGTCTCAACAAATGGCATTCATTTTCCCTCCACATGGCTCAGCTTGTTTGTAATGCAAACACATAGAGAGTCTTGGCTTTGCTCGTCCCCAGCGCATTAATTTCCCAGTATGCGTTTGAAAGTGTGTTTCAATGTGGGGCAAAGCTCTGCAGATATGCAGCTGGGCTAGAACATATTTGAGGAATATTTTAAGTTGAGACATGAGTGGGATGAAACAGTGGCATCAGAATCATATTTCACTGCAGTAGTTTTATGCCAGGGGGTAGCAGAGTTTAGTGATTAAAGACCAAAGGGCATCATTCAAGTGAAGCCATGCTGCTGGAGAAAAACAGCATCAGGGGGTAGCCTCCCCTCTGCTATCAAATAATTACAGTCCACTAATGGACTGGTATGGACAACTGAAGTCAGCAGTCTATCCACGGCTCTGAATCACCTAGATTGGCTTTAAATCCCTCTCATTCTGGCAACATCACCTGTACATACTGTATTTAGATGCTAATTTTGTCTAACCCTTGGTCAGATAACTGTGTACGAACTTCCCTGGGAATGAAAATGCTGAGGTGGATGTTAATCAGAAGCATTAAAGTGAGGATAAAAGAAAATAGCGTTGTGAAATGCATTGGATTTTAGGCTGGTTTAAGCTGTAGAGCAATGTGCTGGGTTGTGTTTAGATTACTCTCATTTGGATGGCTATAAGGATTGAGCAGAGGGAATA